TGAGGTCTGTTTGGAAACTGAAACAGTATTTGCTGTGTGAGCAAGGAGACAGCAAGGAGCCTAGGCGTGGCTGAACTCAACTATTCTGTACTAAAGCTGCTTGCTGCTGTGAAAGTAAAACTGAAACTTCTCTCCTCTGATTGTGTTTTGCATTTGGAACAGATTTCTTTTCAAGTGGGGAGGGAGAGTAGAAATCCTTAGCATCAGAGCGTGTTAATAATAATAATATAGGAAATACTAATGCTCTGACGGTCATTTTGAAAAAAATCCTTTCTCAGTGAGTACCTAGAAGCCAAGAGGAACATACATGGCAAATTTCAAGTTTGTAGGCTTTGTGGTTCTGGAGATTTTTGTAATGATGCCTGAGTGCTTTTTCGCTTTTACATATATAAAAGATTCCTTTGCTTTTACTTAGTTACATAACAGGAAACTGGCACACAACAAATAAAGTATAGAAATATAGGAATTATAAAAGTAGTCAAGCATGCCTTCTGCAGTTCTGGTTACAGAACTAATATTAATTGTTATATATTTGCATACTTACCTATGATAGGTTGGTCCGTGGTGGCGGGAGATTTGAAGAGCCGCCATTGGCCATGAGCCGCGAGCAGCCAGCTATAAAAAAAGGCTGCTGTGATTTCTCCGCATGCGATTACTAGAAAGGAAATAAAAAGGAAAAAAGGTCAACTGGGTCTCGAGTCTTTTTGCCCACAACGCAACACTGGTGACGAAGGTGGGATAGTGAGATAAAGGAGCCCAGTTGTGCACATGGCAATGAGGACCGAGCGAGACGAAATGGCCGGGAACAACTCGCCACTCGCACCATTCAACCCAACAACTGAAGACTGGGAATCCTACATCGACCGATTCCTCATGTTTCTAGAAGGGAGTGATCTCCAAGGAATATCCGAAAATAGGAAGAGAGCCGTCTTCCTCGCCCACTGCGGTCCCACAGTATTCAAAATGGCAAAGGCATTGGCAGCACCCAACGATGTAAAGACGATGGCGTGGACGGACCTAGAGAATTTACTGCGAGCCCACTATGCACCAACCATTTCATGCCTCATCAAAAGACACGAATTTTATCGGCGCGACCAAAAGGAAGACGAGAGCATTGGAGATTTTGTTGCAGCACTAAGAGACATTGGCGGAACATGCGAATTTCTAAACGTGGATGAGGCCATGAGGGACCGCGTGGTCCTCGGATTAAAGGACCTTATACTACAGGGTCGACTACTAACAAGACCTAAGATAACATTGAAGGAGGCAATAGAAGAAGCCACCACAGCGGAAGCCACACAGAAATCGGCAGCCACCATGCGACAAATGAATAAATTACCAAAAGAAACCCAAGAAGACACTAATCAAACACGCAGTCTCTTTTCCCACAACGCAACATTAATATTTCTCAAAATATTTCATTCTTCTAGGAGGAGGGGTGGTAGAATAGAATGGGAACAAAAGTAGACAGAACAGAACAGAACAGAACAGAACAATAGTTGGAAGGGACCTTGGAGGTCTTCCAGTGAGTCTAACCCCCTGCAAGAAACCGTTTCAAATGAATGGTTGTCCAATCTCTTTTTAAAAATTTCCAATGTTGGAGCATTCACAGCTTCTGGAGGCACTGATTAATTGTTGTAACTATCAGGAAATTTCTCCTTAGTTCTAGGTTGCTTCTTCCCTTGATTAGTTTCCCTCCATTGCTTCTTCTCCTGTCTCAGGCGCTTTGGAGAATAGCTTGACTCCCTCTTCTTTGTGGCAGCCCCTGAGATATTGGGACACTGCTATCACGTCTCCCCTGGTCCTTCTTTTCATTGCACTAAACATATACCCAATTCCAGTAACCGTTCTTTATACGTTTTAGCCTCCAGTCCCCTAATCTTCTTTGTGGCTTTGTCTTTCTAGTCTCAACATCTTTTTTTTTTTAACATCGTGGCGGCCAAATGATGGCAATATAAAACTATTCCCCCTTAAAGCAGTGTTTTTTCGAACTTGGCAACTTGAAGATGTGCGGACTGCAACTCCCATGATTCCCCCGCTCAGCATCGTCTTTTAAAAACAAAAAATACAAAACACTTCCGCTAGCCGGTTTCATCCGAGCTCGACTCCTTGGCCGTAAAAGAGTTAAAAGCACAGAGTTGACACTCCTAGAGGGGCCTCATAGCTAGATGGTCGAGGAAAGCGCCTTCCTGTTTGCCGCCGAGCTCCCGAGAAGAAAGAGCAGGTAAAAAAGTAAGCGGGGCGGCGGGTCGTGGGGAAACGGCTACACGCGTCACGGGCCGTTGTAAGTCGGTCTGCGAGAGATGCGGCCTACGAAAAAGAAGTGTCGGAAGGGTTTGGCATCATTTTGCCCACCGTCCAAGTGGAAGGCCGGTTCTGGGCAAGACAAATTATTTATTATCATTATCATTATTACCACTATCACTATTACCACTATCACTATCACCACTATCACTATCGCTATTATTTCCCACCGATTCTTCCCGTTTAGATACAGCTAAACATTTTTTTTTCCAGTTTTGGGTTGTCCACCTGCCAGGTGTGACAAAACTCCTCTCTTGGGTACAGCAGCATAAATAAATAAAATAAATAAATAAATGAACCCTTAATGCATAATCTGGACAGACAATTGTTTTTTTTTGGGGGGGGGGGGTGTTTTCCCCAAGATCTCTCATTAAAAAGCCTTTTTTTATTGCAGGGACATAACTGCTGAAAATTAGGATTTTTTTTTTAAAAAAAAACCATTCTGCCCCAAGAAAGCAGGTTCAGTTATCGGGTGATTTTTCTGCTTTGTTATCTTGATCTGGAAAATCAGAAGTGTGGAACACTTTTGCTGGAGGGGAGGGAAGCTTAGCTGTCAAGTCACCTCCAACCCAGGGGTCTTCCAACCTTGGCCACTTTAAGCCTGGAGACTCCCAACTGGGGAATTCTGGGAGTTGAAGTCCTCCAGGCTTAAAGTGGCCAAAGTTGGAAGACCCCTGCTCCAAACTGAAGGGGTCCTTAGTGCTCTCTGAGCTGGCTTGTTTTGTTGCGGACGTTTCATTAGCAATAGCAATAGCACTTAGATGATGGTGAACCTATGGCATGTGTGCCACAGGTGGCATGCAGAGCCATTTGTACTGGCACACGAGCTGCAGGCAAACTGAACTATTACCATCGAGAAGGAGATTCAGGGTATTAAGAACAAGGACGACTAGATTTAAGAACAGTTTTTATCCAAGTGCAGTTTTGAATTTGAATGCAGGGTCATAAGATTTTTGTGGAATTTAATGGCTGAGAGTAATGGGGTATTTACATTTTTAAATTGTGTAGAGATTATTGTATGGTTTGTTGTGTTTAGTTTTATTTTTCTTTCAATGGTGTTGTCCAGTTTTACTTGTGGAAGAGCACCTCATTTCGTTGCACCCGCTTGCGAGTGTAATGACAAATAAATTTTTCTTCTTCTTCTTCTTCTTCTTCTTCTTCTTCTTCTTCTTCTTCTT